GGACAGGAAAAGATGGAAGCCTGTGAGCAGGTTTGCATTGGAAATGCAGACTTTGGACATACTTATGGGAGATTTGGGACTGTCATTTTGGAGGCTTGTAACTTTAAAAACCCCACCAATCCAGCAGCAAAAATCCAGCAACAAAAAAGCAGCTGAACTATCAGTGAGGGAAGGGAGAGAGAGAAGCAGCTGCTCAGAATGCACAGAATGCTCAGCATCTCACTTCCTAACTTGTATTATAACTCAGTGGAACAAGTTGTGTAAAACCTTGTCACAGCCCTGCCTGAGTGTGGGATGTTCTGGTCGTTGTGAGGCCTCAGTAACATAACCAGACCTGGCTCCTGCCAGGATAAGGGACAGAGGAACTTAAAACCCAGCCAACGTGCTGGAAACAGGCAGTAGCCATCAGAAAGGAGAACAATGGGTCATCAGGGGAAGTGGGAACTTGCCTCTCCCTGTTCTTATCATAAACATTTTCCTTCCATTTGCAATCTGGTCTGGAATCTTCAGCCCTAAGCTTTAAAGCTTATCCACTCTGATGCTTCTACCAGATGAGATATGTTGGGCCTGTTTCCCCAGCCAAACCCTCTTGTCCTTTTTATCCTGGAGTGCAATGGTTCAGTGTTCCTGGCCCTGCTTTCTGAGGTTCTTGCAGATTCTCCTTCCAAGAACTCCCTCTCTGGCCTGGCTCTATCCATCCCTCCGGGCTGCCTTTGCCTGTATTTAGAGCATCAGTTTGTTGGGAGAAAGGAGATGGTTTCTCCCCCCTCACAACTACTTTTTGCTGTCAGCACTGGAAAGAACTTACCTTTGGACAGTCCAGGTATCTCTTTAAAACTCGATTCAGAGGGATTATGAAGGTTCACTTTCATGCTCTGTATTCATGATCCACAGTGAATTCATGATCAGGCTTTCTGCCTTTTGATCCAAACCAGAGTTTTGTTCTCACTTAAATCACCTTGGTCTTGTTTTGGAACGTACTGCCCAAGGCAGGCTCCCTCCCTACCTCTGTCCTGAGTGAGACATTCCTGCTGTGTACTGAGTGCTTGGTGCCAGAAGCAAGAATCCCTCAGGTTTCCCTCCCCACACATCACAGTTAAAAGTTTTAAAACAAGATTGTTTTAAATTTAAAGAATTATAGCCTGTAGGGTAAGTCCAACTGAGTGGAAAACAATTTGTTTAGCCTGAAGTTTGGTTTTATTTCAGGGGTTTTTTTTTGTTTGCAGACTACTATGGATGAAAATGAAATGAGTATCTTGAGTCTCTTTGGACAAGGTTGCCACATTCAGATTCCTAGGAAAAAAGCTGTGAACTTTTGGTGCTGGTTCCTCTCAGGAAGGCAGATACATGTCAGCTAGAGCTCCTCCATGGGCAATTTAAAGGTCAGCATAAAGACATTCTGGCTTCTTAAAAAAAAATGTACAGGGACTGAAGATCTTTGATCTTGATAGTGTGGGATCAGACCATCACATTACTCTGACCTTTGTAGTTTCTCTCTCCTCAGTGTACCCTCAACATCCCCTGATTGCTGGTTGCTTCTCAACACTCTCATTTTGTGGATCAAAGGAGAAATGCATTAGTTTGAGTATTACTTGCTCTAGAAATTGTATGTGTTTAAGGAGTTCACATTAAAATATTACCCTTGGATAATTATGAAGTAAGATTAAAGTTGAGATCATCTGTTTATTAGAGGACTCTGGAGGAATTCCAGGGGAATTTTCCTGCTGGAAAATCAAAACTTGCTACTCTTCAGCCTAATAACCAGCCATTAATGGCAGCCTAGAAACAGTCTGCTTTATTGTTTAGTAAGGCTAAGAATTACTGTTGCTATCTAACCTCAGGTCTACCACTGCCTCCTTTGTGGCAGAGGCTAAACTACTTAACTTCTGTTCGTTTCCCATGACTGGTGCTTCTGAGGGAGTTCAAAAATTTATAGAGGTCCAGTGTGCTAAGACAATAAAAACATTACTCCTCTGGTTGCAATCAGTCTGGCACTTCACTGAGAAGGGCCTCCTGTTATTTTGTTCTCAGGGGTGAACGATCCGTTCAAGAAGCCTGGTGGGATGTTGGGCTGCAGGGTCAGGGAGGCAATTCCCTGCTGAATGTATCCTAGTCTGTGCTTATTACTTTTACATGTTAATTGTAATGGGGTTTCCTGTATTAGACATCATGAGTGGGGCTGATTGAAAAATCAAGTTTTCTGTATTCAAGAAATGCCGGTTCCCAGAAATGGGAGGGAACTCGATCAGAGAATGGAAATTGATTTTCTGAATTTCCTGTGAAAACAGAAGTCTGAGGAGAAGGAAAAGAAAGCAGCAGTGTAAGTTTCAATTATAACAGTTTTGTTTTGAAAATGTAGAAACCAAGCTGTAGCTGTGATTCCAAGCGTGCAGCTCATGGGTGAGCCAAGACTCCAGGGCTTTCTGGCTCCCAGCTCTCCATTAGCCCTGGAGCAAGTGAGGCTTTGAGTTCCCAACTCTTCCAGAATCTGTGCCACACCTTTCAGAGCTCTGCTCAGATCTTGGCCTCGTGGCAGGGAGCTGGGCAGCTCTGAGTGGCCCCAGCTTTTCAAACTCCTGCTTTTTGGCCAGGATCCTAAATTCTCCAAGGACCTGGGCATGGCTCCTTGCTCTGCAGAACAGGGAGAGGCCCTGTGAACCAGCATAATTTACGGAATCCTGACTACAGAGTAGGGACACAGGACGTGTTAGTGCTTCTGCACAGGCATTCCTTGCAGATCTGGCCCCTGGCAGGGTGGGCTTTCTAAACTTCCAGCAGGGAAGTGCAATTTTCAGATGGGAAAGGTTTTGAAATCTTAAGAAGTGTAAAGTGGAACTGAGTTTGATATTGTTGAAGTTTTTTGGTTTTTAATTTTACCGTTATGACAAGTCCCTAGGAATATCACTGTTAGGCTTTTGAGGACCTGACTCCTGTCAAGTCTCATGATACTGAGTGGGAATTCCTTGGTTTTGTTCCTATCTCTTGCTTCTCCATTGTGCCTTTGGCACTCCTTACATTTCTAACATCTGCTGTTGCTTCTGTTCTGCTCCCTGACTCTGTGCCCAGCTGCTCCTGGTCTCCTTGGGCAGAGATCTAGAACTGTGAGCTCTCCTCTTGTTGTGAAATCCCATGGGTGAGCAGAGCACACGGGGATTCCTGGAACTTGGGGAGTCTGGACAATTCTGGAAATGCAAGGCAGCACTCAGCACCCAACACATCTGGTTCTGTGCCTCGCCCAGTGCTGAGGGAACCTGGCTTGTCAACTCAGCCTGTGGAGTTGGGAATGATGTGTTGGATTGCAGAGGTTGGAAACCGAAATTGCAGCTTCCACTGGGGTAAAACAGATCAAGGAGAGAGGAAGAGATATCTCATGGAGTTCCTCCCAGAGTAGCAGCTAATGGGATATACTTAGTTCCTTAAATTATCCTTTAATACTGTATTGAAGCATATCACTGAAAGCCACGCAAAGTCTCTTTCTTCCCATGTAGATGTGTAACCAGTTCCTGGGACATCCTGTTACAGCAGCACAGGAGGCAGAGAAGTGGCTCTGAAACCAAATTTAGTTTATTAAGGCCTTTTGGATTTGGGATCTCATCCCTCAAGCCAGTTGCTGTAGGATTCTCACTTTGAGCAGCATTTCCAAGGTTAACGAGCACTTGGAGCCCCAATTTGTTTTGGACTAACAGTCCTCATCTTTCTATCTGGTAACAAAGACTTTGAAAGAGCTTGGAGGGGGCACCACATGGAAACAGGAGAGTTATTCCAACCTTGCAGTGCTTGGACAGAGCAGTGCTTGGCAGCCACTCTCTAGGAGCTGCTGGCTCCCTGTCCAGCCTCTGGCATGTCCACTGAGAGTTTATTCAGTACCATTAACCAGTCCACAAAATAGGGTAAAACCTCCTTCATCTGGGGGCTGAGAGGGTTAATTTAAGTACCAAGATCATAAAAAGCAGTAGGTGCAAGGGCAGAGGCTCCACGTTACATGTTACAGCACTTTTCCTGAGGTGGGGATTCCCTGCTCCCAGAGTCCTTCCCAGCTCCCTTCTGAGCTGTTCCTACAGGGCAGAGTTGCCACCTTTTTACAGCAGCCTTTGCCACTTGGTACTTTCAACCTGGAACTTTAAATCACCAGAGACAAAGAGCAATAAAAATGGGGTCTGTCATTGAACAGATCCTTCTTCCTATAACTGAGTCACTGCCACACAGTTTTTCTCCTGGCACATCATAAAGAAATACACTCAGAACAAATGGGCTCAAAAAAAGCTTATGGGAAAAATAAACCCATCAAATTTCTGTCTTCTCCAATCTGAACTCCAGAGGATATATGTGTGTTTATATCTAAAAATGTGCATAGAAAACAAATCCTATTTTCCACTGCTTTTAAAAAAAATTATCATTTATTTTAAAGAAAACTTTTGCATTTTATAACAGAAAAATTTATCAGTAATATAAAGCTCCCTAGGAACAACCACAACCAACCTCCAAAAGGGACTAATTCCACTTCAACAACCTGGACTGAATGAGACACAAAGATAGATCCTAAACGTGGTTTCAGCTTCATCTGATCCCCATTCCTTGCACAGTGCCCATGAAAAACACAAGTCACAGCTCTGGGGAGGTGTCTGAGGCAGGGGCAGCAGAGATGGCCCAGGGCAGGTTCTAGAGAGTGTTTGTCCCCTCCTGAAATCCTGTCTCCTGGTTAGGCTGGGACCATGCACACTCCCCTCTGGCATGGCACTGACCCAGGTAACTGTACTCCCAACCCTATTTCTAAAGTTGAATTAAAAAGTGGACTGATTTAAGTCTGGGGCTGCAAATGCAAAGGATTTATTTAGGTTTATTTCCTCCTGTATTTACATTTTTGCAAGGAGCTCTCTCTTTATAAATGCATCACTGATGAATATTGAAAACCTTCTTGGGCACAAGTATCTTCTTGCAGTGGCAATGCATCAGAGGCTTGGCTGGTGGTTATTCTTCAAAGACTTAGGAGGCATTAAATGTAAATTTAAATACAAATGTATTTAGGAAAATCCAATACTAAAATGATCTGGATCTTGCAATTATTTTAATTAAAGTGGAAGGAGAAGTTTTCCAAAAACGCTGGAACCCTGTCTTGGTGATAAAGATCCTGAAGTAAGCTGGTTTTTCCCCAATTTTTTGTCCACTTTGCCCTGAATCACAGAGCACAGGGCACATCCCCCCCCCTCCCCCCCAGCAGCTGGGCCAGCAACGCCTTGAAAAAGCCAGTTTGCAAAACGGCGTAGGTATTAAGGACCGATTGCCAAACATTTTGAAAACACAGCTAACAGGGAAGATTACTCCGTGAAAATAAAACTGTTATGCAAAGCAGTTTCTGGGATTCACGCACGGCCGGGACCTTGTTACCAACAGTCCCCGGGCACGGGCGGATGGGTTGGGAAAACACGATGTACAGCGGGAGCTGCTCCATCCCCTGCTGCAGTCCCCGGACCCAGCCTCGGGAAACTTCTTTGAGGGAGGGAACTTTAAAAAAACCGTACAGAATAAGAACTAAAAAAAAAAAAAAAAAAATCCAAAACAAACAATCCAACTCGCACAGTAGAATTACCATGAGAAAAAGGCACTTCCATGCTTTTTTTTTCAGGGGTGGGATCCCTGTCCTGCCCGCCAGCGCCTCTCGGGCTCCGCAGCTGCGCCCCCGAGCCCCAGGAAAGGGGATGGGGCGAAAAAAGAAGGGAAAAATTAAAAATGAAGAAAACAAGGATGTTGCCGGGTTCCAGCGCGGGCGGTGCCCCCGGATCCGATCCGTGAGGGGACCCCGGGCCAGGTCCTCGTCCCGGTCCCTGGTTCCCATCCCGTTCCCCTCCCCATCCCAT